ATTAAAATTATCTACATATTAATAGTGTTAAAATAAATATTAATTTTTATAATCTTTTATATAAATTATTATAAAAATTTACATTTATTATATTTTAATTTATACATTTAAAATATAAATTAAATAAATTTTATATTAATTTCAATATAAAAGTTAATAATATCTCTCTAAGTTGATAAAGTTGAAAGAAGTTGGATTCGTTAAATGATATTTTCAATTTTTTTTTCTTACAATAAAAAAAATATTTGAGCAAAAATATCAATTCGAAAGGTGATGCTCTAGTCGTAAAAGCTACTGAAAAGTTGAGTAAAGTTGAAGTCACGTGTTTGAATCCTTGAGACATCAAATCTTAAGTATGAACCTTCCGTGGAAGGAAAAAAGAAAAGTTGCAGCGTACAGGGGAGAATTCGCCCGCCGGGTCTACCGGGCTGGACGGGTCAACCGATTTTCCAGGGTTTGGGCGGTTGGATTCTCAAAGCGGCCTGGGTGTCCACCTAACCTGTTTCAGCAACCGGGTGACGATTTAACCAGTCAAATTGGTCAATTCGATCCGATTTTAAAAACACTGTAATTTTATATTCAGTAGTTGACTTAACTTCAAAACTGATACCGGGTAGAAAAATCAAGCAAATTGGGAAGTTATTATGTCTTGATTTATGACAAAATTTCAAAAAAAAAAAATTTGATTACATTTTGCAGCTATGGTCTCCAATTGAACTTTGAAAAAGTTGTTTTTTTTTTTTTTTTGGTGAAAAGAAAAAGGAGTCAAGTTTGATGAAGCTACTTTTATGATTACTACTAACTTTTTAATACCATATTATCATACATTGACTTTGAATTATGCGTTAGTATTATTTTGAAAATGTCAACATTTTATAGGCTTATTTTGTGGTCATGTACTTAAAAAAAGGTGAGCATTCAGCTTTGATTTATGTGAGTTTGCCATTTTCTCTTATCCAATTCTTAAATTTTTTTTCATACATCAAACGGATTTGCATCAACATAAACCTCTAAATCCACATTGCATCCTATAAGCATTCTATAATAATAATAATAATAATAATAAGCATCCGATAAATATTCCATAACAATAATAACAACAACAATGTGAATTTTTTTTTTCATATATCAAATAGATTTGCATCAATACAAAACACTAAATCCACCAAATCCACATTGCCTCCGATAAGCATTCCTAGAATAATAATAATAATAACAATAATAATAATAATAAGAGTTTTGCAAGACATTGCTATAATAATAACAATAATAATAATAAGGGGTTTTTTAGCATATATGTTAAACATATAATTAATATATCTTTTTATCATTAATTAGTATTTAAAATAATAAAAATTGATATTAATTTATCATCATTTTTAATTAGTTTATTAATTTTTTTTAATATTGATTGCACAATAAAAAAGTCACTTGCATGTCATATGATTTAAATTCAAGATCTTTTACTTTTAAGAAAAGAAAATGATCACTGAACTATGTTGACAATTAGTTTATTGATTAAATAAAAATTAATTGTTATTTTTTAATAATAATTAATATAAAAAAATGTTAACTTATACCTTTAAATTAAAGACCCTAATAATACTCTGCCAATTACCGAACAAATCCATCAAACCTAAACTCCTCGGCTTCTTCATTTTCAGTGTTGAATTCACCTGCCAAGCAATTTCTGCTCCCCCAATCAATTCACAGGATCCATGCCAAATTTCCAAACACCAATACCCAAAAACTCCCAAGAAACCATCATCATCAAGATGATTCTCGATATCAGAACTCAGAAGCAGACCTGCCCCCATATTATTTGAATGTTAAAGAGAAAATTCAAGCAATGTGGGTGGGGTAAGTGATGTATCCATTTGTACCCAAAATTCTAAAATTGATTGTTATAGTCAATGCTCTACAAATTACCAAGAAAGTGGTCTAACACTATGTAGTATAGTGGTCATAACCTATGTGAAACATGCTATGACATGTAAGTTCTGAGTTCTATACCCGAGTACTACTTCCTCCATCCCCCACAATCCCCCTTAGTTCAAAAAAAAAAAAAAAACCAAGAAAGTGAAGGTCTAGGTGTAAGGTAATTAAGCATCATCTAAAAGGAAGCCATCGAGAAAAGTCGTTACCTGGGGCCAGGTACAACTGTCTCAATTTAATTGACGATGCTTTCCCCACATTCAAAAAAATTAAAAGATAATAATAATAATAGTCTAAAGTCTAGTGGTCAAATGCTGGAAGGTGGAGCTGGAGGCCAACCACAAGGAATTGCCACTATGGTGTAGAGTTCAAATCCAGACCACACTTGCAATCCTTTCCCTCATAATTACGTAGTTCCTCAAAATATATATATATATATATATATATATTTTGTGGAGGTGAAGTGTGTGTGTGTGGTTGTTTTAAGACCAAGAAGTTATTGTGATTTTTCTGTGAACCACAAGACTCTGTTTAAAGACCTAAAAGTTATCGACACCTTTTGCCCCCCACCATGCCTAGACCAGACCTCATCTTTGCTGCTCTTTTTCTTCTTATCGCCTTAATTCATGAGACCTGCAGTGCCAAAGATAAACATTACTGTCCACCTTCTTCTTGTGGAAATATTTTGAATATTAGCTACCCTTTCAAATTAAACACGGATCCGCCTCACTGTGGAGAGGCTGCAGATCCAGCATATTCTCTGTCCTGTGAGAAAAACCTTACAGTATTCACTTTTAAATCAGGAAAATTCTACGTGAAAGCAATCAATTATGACAAGCAAACAATTCGAGTAGCTGATGCTAGTGTTAAGGAAGGGAGCTGCTCCATACCTCAATATTCCTGGGACTTCTCAACGCCTTTCCCTTCTTATGATTTTTATTCGGAGAGTATTCTTTTCATAAGTTGTGAAAATTTTGTAAATGCCTCGCGTTATGTGGAAGCTCCTGCCTGCATTAACAGCAGCTCTTTCTTCACACCTTATGGGCCTGAATCTGAAGGCAAAAGGTTTTATTATGTGAAAATTGGAAGCACAACTCCACTTGAGTTAAAACCTTCATGCCGTATTGAGATAATGACACTTGTACCACCAATACTAATGGAGAAGAATTACGAGAACGTCTCCTACCTGGACATCCACCATGGGTTAGCATCTGGAATTGAGTTGTCATGGTGGGATGCTTCATGTGGAGAGAGGGGTTTTTCCTACATTAACAAGGAAAACCAGTGTGTTTCTTATGTTGCAGATCTAGGTACTTCAGAAACAAATTCTTTTGATTTGAGTTCCAATTGTGCATTTGCCGTTTCATTTCTTGGATGTATCCTTTTTAGTGGCAAAAGGTTTTGGCTAATTTTGTTCACTTCATGCAGGGGACATGGTTTTCGCAATTTTTGGAGCACTTTTATCTCTGCTCAGTTATTACGTACCTGGTAAGTACCTTTAATCCACATCTTGTTCAAATATATTATATATATATGAAGTAAGAATAAAGTCTTTAAGTATTATAAGAAGAGCAGTCAAACTCGACCCTCGTCCTTTTTCTTTCTTCTCTTTCTTTGTCTCTGTTAAAATGAGTTTGATATTGTGATAATTTTGTAAATACTTTGATTTGTAAAGGCATTTTGATAGATAAAAGTTTTAAATTGAGTAATGATAATTGGTGTAATTTTTGTAAAATTTTTATCTATTTTGTAATTATATTTTTCTTAATTTATATCTTTTTTCTATTTGTATGGAAATTTTTTTATTTATATTTTAGCTGAGGTTGTTTCTGCTGTAGTTATTTTTTTACTTTATATAATTTTATGAAAAATTTTAAATTTAATCTTAGAATTAATTATATTTTAAATCAAATAAATTAAGTTTGATAAAATAATTTT